AACGCTGATAATAACATTGGTATCTTTGTAAAACTGATAATGCTATTAATAAGTAACAAATTACTTCGTTCTAAAACTATCAAGTTTTAGTTTCCTGCAAGGAAAAGTAGAAGTTGAAAAGACTTCAGGTATAACATCAACAAATTACAAAATCAGTAAAGATCAATCATTATTGATAATTGCTGAAAACGCAGTATTTGGATCAACAAATCGGTAATAGCAGTAATTGGAACACAGTAAGAATAATTGAAGAATGTTGATGAGCTTATTTGAAACAATAATTACAGCTTCTGATCTAAAGCAGATTCCTTCACTTTTTGAAGAAGAAATCAAAATTTGTGTTAAGCAAACGACAATAATCGTTGTTTGGTGTGGAAGAAAAGGTAACAGATTACCAGTAACTGGCAAACCAAATACATATATTACTGATACTTAAGCTTCGCTTAGGCGCCTGATCAGGTTTGCTAAATTCTTGCTTGTTATTTTGCAGCAGAAATAAGAACTTTTTTAAGCATTTTCTGTTATCAGATTTGAAGCTGTTTCTCTTGAGGTTTCATACCAATTATCTGTTTTAATGTACTCTTTTTTTTTTTTTTTTTTAAGTAGGCCTATTATAGGCTATGTATATGTGGGTTGTAAGGTTGCTTTAAAAAAATGTCGTCTCACCACTGCCATTGATAATAGAAACAAAAATAAAAGTTTTTTTTTTTTCTTTACAGAAAGAACATTTAAATAAGCCACAATTTCATTTAGTACGATGACCAAAATATAAGCTTTTTTATTTTAAAAAGTCTTTCAATTTATTATTTCACTCCCTTTTTTTTCCATTAAATACGCATGCACAGAGGCAGAAGAAATGACTGAAACTGTAACTATCTCTCTGTATTACTTTATAAGTAATAAACAAAAAAAATTTGACGATATATTTGTACTGTTAAACGTCAAATTATAGCGCAACTGTTTCGTGTTTTTGTGCTTCAAAAAATTTTAGCCTTCTAATGTTTTTATTCTTTCATTAGTTTGAGTAAAAAAAAATTATCTTTTTGAACATCGAGGTTTTTCAATGATAAATCATCAAAAGCTGTTAGATCTTTAAATAGTGATACTGTTAACTGTAACAATTTGAAGAAATTATCATTTCTTTAGAAATAAATTTTTATAGACTAAAAAACACTTTAAAGAATTTAAACTCAAACTTTCTGGTGGGCGAATGAACTTTGGTTTACCAGAAAATAGTATAGCAGTGACAGTGTTGTCACTGTATAACTGCAAATATCAACCACAGTTTTGCAGTATTCTGCTGAACCGAGTAAACAGAATAAGTTGAATTTAGAATTTGTTATTCAACATTTTTTTTTTTCTTCAAATTTTTTCACATAATTCATAGAGTTGTTGATTGATAAAAGTTAGGAAAAAAAAAGATAAAAATACTCTTTTTTTTTTGATGTTTATTCAGCATTTTCATTTCTTATTGGTATCCTTTCAAATGTTCAATGATGGCTTCTACTTCTTCCTTTTTTTTTTTTTTTTTTT